GAGTTTGAGGAGGAGAGATATGAGCATGAACAGAAGGTATACCTCTACTGAATGAAAAAAGAACTCTAGACCTCTGGTGACCAAATAGAAGGTAAAGCTTTAGACCTCCAGCGATGAGATCGATTCTCCGGTGACTTGCTACGCAGGTAGACTTTCGATGACTGGGAAAGGAAGACAAGGCATTCGACCTCTAATTAGGGGTGAGCATTATTCGGCTAAAACCAAATCGAAAATTTTGGTTCAGTTTTTAATTAAATTGGTTCGGTTAATTTAGTTTCTGGTTTTGGTTTTTAAAATTAGAATTTCAGTTAATCGAGTTAACTGAACTTTTTATCATTATATATAATATATTATATGTAACATATAATATATAATATATAATATATAATATATTTATATATTAATATATAATATACTAAAATTTGATTTCATAATATATAATATATATTATATGTTATAAGAGTATATATTATTAAAATTCAATTTTAACCAAAATAACCGAAAATTTTGGTTTTGGTTTGCTTTTTATTTCTTTAATTTGGTTTTTAAAATTTTGGTTTGTTTGGTTTGGTTTTTAATCGGATAAACCAAATGCTCACCCTTACCTCTAATAGCTAAAAACGCAAAAGAAGAAAATGTTTTAGGGTTCGTTAAAAGAAGAGAGAAGCAGTTTACGATATGGTGCATTGTCAAATATAATACATGTTGGATGCCATGTCACTGCCACATCATGTTATCGTTGACAACAACGAGCTCCAAAATGAGAAAACGTCGAATTCGGTGTTTCCCCAGACCATACCTGCCTGATTTCCAAGACATGGTTTGGGGCAATGTTTTTTATGGAAAAATGGTTTCAAACATTTTGCCGTTTTCTGGAGTTGTGATTTTTTTGACATGACATTGATGGATTGCCATTTTTTGAGTATGTATTTGGCATCAATGCTGCATATGCAACACCATTTTCTTCTTAGAAAACAATGCCTTTTTTGTTTGAAAGCGTTACTGTCAGGTAGGATGTTTCTTGGGGCTAACAACAACACCTTCTGTTTGGTACCGGTGCTCCAAATCTGTTTTGAGCACTGGTATCCATCATCTAATGTTTCTACTATGTATATATTATCTTACATCCAATGGTAGAAAAAAAAACACATATTTCATCCTATCATCCCAATTGTTGAATAGACTATAAAAAAAATAAAGTCAGAAAATCATGAAAAAATGGCAAAAAATCTGAATTACATGAAAGAAACACATATTCATGTCATTACACCATTGGCAGCGAGGAGCTCCAAATTGAGAAAATATAAAATTTGGTATTTCCCCAAACTATGCCTTCTCGATTTTTAAGGCATAGTTTGGAGTAACGTTCTTTTATGAAAAAATGGTTCTAAATATATTGCCGTTTTTTAAAATATCGATTTTTTTAACGTGGCGCTGATGCATCATAGTTTTCTGGAACAATGGCATCGATGCCAAACAGATGCATCGTCACCGGCAACCAAATTTGATTTTAACCGGGTCTCCGGTACCGGAACAAATACAAACAACCAAATATCGTACCAACTGAACGCAGTTGGCACCTTGGATTTGGCTACGGTGAGGATAGGGGGGGGGGTTTGATCCCCTAATTTGCACATTGGATTCTTTCTTGTAGTGGTCCCCACGTCGTGAGGGGTAAACAAGGTAACCGGTTTGCCAGTTGAGGATGCACGCAAAATGCAATCACGAGTTGAGTTTGTTTGACTCAATCCTTAACCCTAACTATTAACTAATAACTATTAGGGGTTGGGGACTGGGGAGGTTCATCACTTTCCGCGTTGGAAGCTGGACGCCGGGATCCTGCCGTAATTAGCCACATAGGATTCTCTGGTCTGTCCGGCGGAAGGTCTGCCGTCTGAGTAAGGGCATTCCTGTGATTTATCGAAAGTTGTGTACCCGTTTCCTACACCTTCCGCGTTCCCTTTTCCCTTTCTTTTTTTATTACGAATTCTTGTCAACATCGATGCTGTTTGCTGGCATTCAATGTCAATGAAGAACTCGATTGAAGAATGAACCCCACACAACAAAACCCTTGCTTCTGGATAAAATTACCCATGCGCCCACTATTATATGTCTATGCCTGCCACTGCCAGTGCCACTGCCGGTGCCAGACTTTCGTGGGTCTCTCTTTCTACCTATCAGATACAGATTTGACCGCCAGTTTTAATTATGACGTGGACAATGGACCCACCTCATGAGTCATGACAACAACGACAAGGATGAATAAGCATTTTGTTTTCTATGCTTCTCCATGTTAAAGAATAAAGATGACCGTTGATCTGATACTGTGAGCTGAGCATTCGCCACTTTCCTTTCGAGTTTCGACGGCATTGAGAGCCGTTGCACATGTTGTAGGGCCCGCCCAGATACTGAGGAGAACAACATCACATTACCACATCACATCGGGATGGTTCTGACTTGAGAGAGAGAGATTTTATCGGATTGCTTTTGTATCTTTTCAGAAACAAAGGCTGGTGTACTCTCCTCTCGGCTCTCTCTTTTTAATGATTTTCAAATTACTTGGGGAACGAGGTACATTCATGTAATATCCGATCAACTCAGGGGTATTTCAAAATTATGTCCTAATCGAGCGGGATTTAGGACTGGGTTTAGTACTTGTCACTTGTCAGTAGGAGATGTTAATAGCGCCGATGCGAATTCGACTGGAACCACTGGACGCCTGCTTCCGTTCTGTTTTTTTTGGTAAATTATAAAGACCCCGTATGATGGAGTCTGTGACAAAGACCCGCTGYATTTTGTTTTGCGACAAAGACCCCTCTGTATTATTATCGTGAGATAAATACTCCCTTAACCGTTAAATTATATGACGGAAAACGTTAAATTATCAAAATATTCTATTAAACTTTTTTTATTTTTTTTCTTACCCTTGTCCAAATCCAAATGCAACTTTGGTTCATACTTGACCGACAACGCAACTCTCTCGGACCAAACGACTTGTAGTTGGGCTGGCGCCTGGTGTGGAATTGTTTAAAGCAACAATGAGGCAGGTGAAAGACAATTATCAGTCATTCACGGCGCTCCTCCTCTTCCTCATGCAATCTGCTCATTGGAAGATAGCTGCTGTCATCCGATCCGTCAAAGCGACCACCAGCCCAAACACCACTAGCACCACCAAAGCTCATCACGTCAGCTACGCACTAGAGTCCTATGTGTGCCAGAAAATGTTTTACGGTTTCGACCATGAGACGTTCTACATGGATTGTTGGGAAATGGGACACTGAAACTTTGGAGGAGAAGCTCTGAGACGCGTCTGAAGATACTGTCTTTAGAACGTTATTTGCCCCCACTAGCATCAAAGCGACCACCAGCCCAAACACCACTAGCATCACCAAAGCTCATCATGCCAGATACGCACTAGAGTCCTATGTGTGCCGGAAAATGTTTTACGGTTTCGACCATGAGACGTTCTACATGGTTGTTGGGAAATGGGGTCACTGAAACTTTGGAGGAGAAGCTCTGAGATGCGTCTAAAGACACTATCTTTAGAACGTTATTTGCCCCAACTCAGTTTTACTAAGTTTGTTATTGGGTTACAAGCAAATCCGTTCCTAAGATACAATAGAGCCTTGGGCTAAAATCTACAATCAATACCTACATTTTCTTCATACCTCTTCATAAACTATTTAAGGAGCATGAATTAGACTTAAAAAACACTTGTTGCGCCGCACACATGCATGTACTCACATTGCATGGTATCAAACCTCCATACTCTCCTCTATATTTCTAAGGAGTATAAATCAATTCCTATTAAAATACTGAAAACAAAGCTTATAATTTTTCAATGTGGGACAAGTTCAAAATTGAGTTTTATAAGAGAAAAGCTAATTTTCCAAACAAGTGTGCAAGTGCAATTTCTCATGTAATTGGCCAATCAAACCCATTGGATTTAATCTCTTATGAGATTAAAATCCAACATGGACAACAACGTCCCTTCATTTCTCCACCCCGACCAATTCCGCCGAGACTGCTTAGATCAGTTCCGAGATTTGAAAGCCACGGACCAAGTTGAGCTCCTAAGCATATTTCCCACTTGTGGCTTCTCTCTCTCTCGTTCACCCCAAGATGGAGGAGTCTATGTTCGGACATTTTGAGCAGCGTCGAGTGTTTTCGACAGGCAACCACCCGAGGAGTGAGTTTTACGAAGAGTTCTTGGCAATGGCCAAAGCAGTTTGGTTGCTTCACTTGCTGACCTTTGCGCTTGAGCCCGCCCCATGCCATTTTCAGGCAACTGGAGGAGCTGAATTTCATCCTCTGTACATGGAGAGTGTCATCGAGTTTTCCGGTCGACGAGTGCCACGTGATTGGATCGTGAGATTTTCGGTTACTCCTGGGTTCAAGCTTGGAGACGGTTCAATCATAAAGGTTGAGTTGCATTCAAAGCCCAAAAGCACAAAGCAAGTCGTGTTTTGCCTTTGGCTCAATTTTGCTATTCACAAGCCCAAAGCTCAAAAGCAAAAGCTTACAGGATGAGATCATGTTGAGATCAAAAGTGCTTAATCCAAAACTGTTCTGACGAGTAAAAGAGGCCATTCCAGACCCGAGTGCTGCTTACAATTAATTATAACGCACTCAATAGTATTAATTATAATGCAATTGGGGCTTGTTCACGAAGGAGAAATCCCTTGATTGGTTGCAAGGGAGAAATAAGGTGAAAAACGTATGAAACACGAAAAGAGGTTAATATTATCCGAATAGTTATTACGAGAGTAATATGGCGATTAAAATATATTGTAACGGCGGATTTTTTATCTTTTTGGACGGAAGGGCAAAAGGCTAACGGAAGAGGGTCTTTCTCTCACGGTCATACTACAGGGGTCTTTCTCTCGTAACAACACGTACGGTCTTTCTCGCAAAGCAAAGGACATGGGTTTTTGTCACAGACCCATACAAGAGGGTCTTTGTAATTTACCTTTCCTTTTTTTTTTTTTTTGAATTTCAAATACTCTCACAGTCTGTGAATACCATACGTGTTGGCTGTTGCTCCGCTCAGCTCTCTTCTCTCTCTCTCGTAACAACCTCTAAAAACAGACGTTTTCGAGTCTTGCAGAGGAAGCTCTTTTTCTTCTTAGAGAAGTAGGGTTTTAAGGTTTCTGAGACTCTGTTCAGCTCGAGCAAGAGGTTTTCAAAAATGGGTGCTTCAGGGAAATGGCTGAAAGCTTTTATGGGTCTGAAAAAGCCCGAGAAAGACGACCATGTAATCTTGAATCCCCATACACTCTGGGCTTCTCTCATTTTCTTCTTCGTTTCTTTGTTTTTGTTCCGTTTATTTTCTTACATTTGGTTTCTGGGGTTTATCGACATCTGCAGGAGAAGGTTGGCAGTAAGAGCCGGAAGTGGAAGCTCTGGAGGAGTTCTTCTGGTGACATTGGATCTTCGTGGAAGAGTTTCAGAGGGGGGTCAAAAGCGGCATCTGAGGCGTCTGATTCTTCCTCTGCAGCCGATGTCTTTAGCGCTGCAGTTGCCACTGTTGTTAGAGCTCCGCCTAAAGATTTCAGGGTTGTGAGGCAGGAATGGGCTGCCATACGGATCCAGACGGCGTTTCGTGGCTTTCTAGTAATGGATTTCTCTACTTTCTAGTCACCCTTATTCATATTTTTCTTTCGTTAAATAGACTAGATACATCCGTGCATAGACTGATAAGTGGGACAAAGTATGTGAGCAACATTCTATAACTCTTCAACATTCAATGAGCTTGTTTCTGATGTATCTCACTGGTTAATGGATCATCGGCGGATGCTAGCCTCAGCTCAGAACACCTCACTGAAGAAGACTTGACAATGAGTTTTGCTGTTCTTGAATGGGGCAGACCTAAACTCTTCAAATTGCAGTTCTAAATCTGAATACTACGCTCCTCCAGTTGATACTGTAGTGGGTGTACATTCTGATTGAACATGGGCGCTCAGAACCTGTGCTTAGAAATCAATCTATTTGCCTGGGCTGGTTACATACTCACCCAAGCTTAGACTTTTTCTACAGACGACCGGAGTAAGGCAATAGGAAACATACATTGATGTGGCATAGCCAGGACAAGGAATAGATACACTCCAGTTCTTCTTATGTACTTAAACTTACTAGCCAAATGCATTTGGTATTTATATTTGAAACAGGTAAATTTTCTTGGAGCTTTCTTAACATCTGATAACTCATATGGAATGATTTGCTGCAGGCAAGAAGGGCATTAAGAGCTTTGAAAGGTATAGTGAGACTTCAGGCCCTTGTCCGTGGGCGGCAGGTGAGGAAGCAGGCTGCTGTGACACTAAGGTGTATGCAAGCACTTGTTCGCGTTCAGGCCCGAGTCAGGGCTCGTCGTGTGCGCATGTCCATCGAGGGGCAGGCTGTACAGAGGCTACTGAATGAACGTCGTAGCAAGGCGGATTTGTTGAAGCAGGCTGAGGTACTAGACATTTATCCAATTTATTATTATATTCTCTGCCCACTTACGTTTAAGGCCATTAAATTTCAAGAAAGTATTTTCTTTTCTTTTCTGAACAATCTCTAGGAAGGATGGTGTGATAGTCAGGGAGCGGTAGAAGAAGTAAGAGCAAAGCTACAAATGCGCCAAGAAGGAGCATTGAAAAGGGAGAGGGCAATTGCTTATTCCCTCTCTCAACAGGTAATCATTAGAAAATCTGGAAAGATAAGACTGTTCTTTGTTTCTATTTTGTATTGATGATGCAACTGCAATAACTCTTGGCTACAGCAATGGAGATGTGGCTCGAACTCAAACACAAGACCAAATGGGTCTTTGACTTCTCTGAAACACCATGAGGTAGACAAGAGTAGCTGGGGTTGGAGTTGGCTAGAAAGATGGATGGCCACCAAGCCATGGGAGAATAGGTTAATGGAGAAAAGCCATGTTGATTCCTCGGAGATGACTTCATCTTCTAAAAACTGTAAAGACAATAATATAGCCAGAATACGGCCAAAATCTTCAGAACCAGGGTCGGTGAAAGTCAGGAAGAACAATGTGACGACCAGGATTTCTGCCAAACCTCCTCTAATTGGGCATGGCACACGTTCCTCTTCGGTCCCAAGTTCTGAGTATATGTATGATGAGAGCTCGGCATCCTCTTCTTCAATCTGCACCTCTACTACTCCAGTTTCTGGTAACACTCCTTCGGCAACGGAGAGGACAGAGGGGAGTAATAACAGTAGGCCCAATTATATGAACCTGACAGAGTCAACTAAGGCTAAACAGAGGACATTCAACCATTCATATAGAATTCAAAGGCAATCAATGGATGATTTTCAGTTTCATAAGAAGTCGGCTGCATTTTCCCAAGGGGATACAAGTAGTGCTGGTTCTGATCCTTCTTCAGTTAATTTATCCAAGTCCATATACTTCCCAACACAGTTGGAAAAATCACTGAGGGTGAGGGAAGAGAACTGTTATTAAAAAAAAAGGTTGTTTTACAATTTATTCTCTTATTTTTGGAGTTCAACATCTTGTTGTCCTGTAAAGCTGACTGAATCTACTAAAAGTCACAAGGAGGAATGTGCTGAAGAACCAATTCAAGACTTCGARATGTGGCTGAATTTTCTTCTTTCATTTGTAATATATAATGATTTAAGCAAAAATTTGTTGTAGAATTAAACTATGTGCTATTTATTTGCCTTGATTTGGTTGATAATTTTCAATGAAAG